CCTAAGTTACATATTTTCTAAACAATGCATTGGAAGCTTAAGTAGCTAGATTGAGAAATTTTGGAAGGGAAAGTCAACATAGGATAGATAAATAATGCGTTTTACTCAAAAGGCTCTGAAATTGTAGCACTTCTAGATAAATGTTGGGAAAGACTAAATACCTTTGGTTGCTCTACTGCTATAAACCAGTAATAAGCAATCTTGTGCCCTTTTACTTTAAATTTCTAAAATAAAATATTGTGGGAATTGTCCAGAATATCTGAAGGACATCAGGTTGCCTATTCACCTGGTCATACAGATTTAGATAGACTTATATTTACAGAACTGAAACTTACATGCATCGTATCACCTCCAGTTATTGTATCCCAACAAAAGTCAGTCCTTCTAATTCTACTTTGCAGAATAATGGGATTATCAAAACTGCAGCATAACATACTATACAACTGTAGTGAAATAGTTAGTTTTGTCCAGTGAGATATTCCCACAAGAAAGGGGGTTATGAGAAAACATTGGGAAGAAAAATATTTGTATATGATTGCCTGCTTTAAGCTGGGGCAAGCAGCAATTCAGGAAAAAGTTCCTGTTGACTGTTAAAAACACTTGCCGTGTGATCTATTTTATTCTGTCCCCTAACAAGAGAAATAAAAACAAATATCTCTTCACTGTCCTACAGCTTCCTCATTAATCACCAAGTTTTTAATCCCAGAGTTGGACTCTCAAAAGAGCATAACGTGTCTTTTTTCCCCCTTGTTAGAGAAAGCGAAATCAAGGAACTTAAATCTCAACTGGCACGCATGCGGGATGACTGGATTGAAGAAGAATGCCATCGCGTGGAGGCCCAGCTTGCCTTGAAAGAAGCGCGGAAGGAGATTAAGCAACTCAAGCAGGTCATTGAAACGATGAAAAACAGCTTGGCTGAGAAAGACAAAGGGATTCAGAAGTATTTTGTGGACATCAACATCCAGAACAAGAAATTGGAGTCTTTGCTTCAGAGCATGGAATTGGCCCAGAATGGCTCTTCTCGTGATGACCAGAGCTTAGAATATGAATGTGATTTGTCACCTGACAAGTCTTTCAGCATGAATACAACTTACTCCAAGACGGAAGATAGCATGTTCACAGAGAACCATTCGGTGGAGGCAGATAGCGGAGTACTGCTCAGTGATGATATTGCGAATGGGAATGACATTTTTGAAGAAACCATGTTTGCTACCACTCCTGAATTTGGTCACCCGGCTGTTTTTACATCTTCTGCTTTCAACCATCTGGATCTGGTGCAAAGTCTAGGCAGCTCCCAAGTAGAAGATGACAATCATAGTGAAGCCATGGAACAAGCTGTTCAGGCTGATGTGTTGCTATACAGGTCAGGCATGGAGCAGCTGATTGAGAACATATTCAAGGCACAAGATGTTTGTCAAATCAACCCATCTCCTGTTTTGGTGGAAGCCAGTGTATCTGATCCAGAAATTATCTCAGACTTGCTTGTGGATTTGACGCCAACAGATCCAAATTCTGCTATCCTCTTATCTCCATTGGAACCCACGCCCAGGGCCATGGATTCTCGATATTACAAAAACCGAGTCATGAAGGAACTGGATTTCATAGACTATCACACCACAACCCTTGGAAATGTGACAAAGTTGTCCGAGGGGAACATTGTCAAAAGGTATTGGAGCAGCAACTTCCTCATAGATCTGTTGGCCATTGGTGCCCCCATTGTGCCAACAATCATGTGGATGTTTAGTACTAGGAGGGGAGGAACAATTCCAATCTTCACTTTTGGAGCATTGTTTCGTGGCTGCTGCCTGCTGGCCTTGAATTCTCTTCGTCAAGAACCGGTTATTCTTCAGCGTTAGATATCACTGTCTTGAATGGTGTGTCAAGAGATTGTATTCTGGTGGATATATAGTGAGGCCATTAAAAAAAAAAGTGGTGTGCATCATGGTGAATCTGCCTGTTTTGCTCCTAAATGTTTGATTTGCACTATATTTAATTGAGAACATGTTCGTTGTTTGAAATTGAAGGCAAACTATTGATGGCATGGAGACATGTTTCCATTAAGTGTATACACAAGTGCATTTATAGCGCATGATCAGCACTTTCCATCCTGTGGTCGGATGTATGGATTGTGATACCAAATGTTTTCTGATGTGAGGGTCAGGTTCATTCTGTCAAAGGCAGCATATATAGTCCCAGCATGTGTTGTCTACGCTTCTTAAATGGCACAATTGTGATGCAGTCACGCTCGCATTCCATTCATCTTGTGTACCCAGGGATCATAACCAAAACTGCCCCCTGCCCCACAACCCGGTGTATTCATGTAGATGGGTGGAGATCTTGAATCGTGTTATTTTGTTTATAAATATGGCTGTGAATATATTTGACTGAGATTTGTCTGAAGTCTTAAATGAAGTCTTACTGGAAGTGTGGGGTTAATCTATGAAGGAATATTTTAAATGTGTGATGTATTAACTTATTTTTCCTCTTGTTTAATAATCTTTTCAAGAAAGCAAAAACCCTTTGAATCACATGTTGTAAATAAAGCATGCTGAAATTGAAGTGGTGTGTTTGTGGTAGCTACCTATGGTACAATGCAAGAGATTTTATGCTGTTACCTACATACAAGCTTCAGAAGTTTCCTCTGGTGTCTGAAGTAGTGGCTAATCTCAATTTCAAGTGGACTCTGTGTGGGTGGGTGTGGGTGTTGGGTGCAGTAGTGGTATGCTGCTGCTTCGCACCGACTCGGGCAAACCGGTAGTGGTGGCAGCGGCACGAGACTCTGCCCACCCACTCTGACATCAAGAACCATCAAGAATGGTCTGCACATGCCCAGATGCGCACACTCCCGCTACCGAACTGGTAGTGAAGAAAATAGAATACCATAACTGGTTCGGTGGGTGTGTTGGGTGTGTCATAAATTCTCTGGTAATTGTTAGAAAACAAAAGCAATAGTAGAATGTGCAACTTTGAGGATTAGCCACTACTGGTAATCCACAACTTAGACCAGAGGTCTCCAACTGTGGCAACTTTAAGACTTGTGGACTTCAACTCTCAGAGTTCCTCAGCCAGCTTTGGGAATTGAAGTCCACAAGTCTTAAAGTTGCCAAGGTTGGAGACTGCTGACTTAGACCATTCATTAGGCTTCTTCAAAATTATGACGATGNCCAAGGTCCCTTCCAGCTGTATTCCGATTGATGGAAATCACCATTGTTTGAGGGACTAAAAACCTAGAGCCACTCTATCTTGCAATGGTTGAGTCCATGCAGACTGTTACAGCCTCCAGGAACTTGGACAGGAACCATAACAGCATTACTTGCCTGGCTCAGGGAAATGTATAACTGGGTATCCTCAGCATACTGATGACACCACATCCAATGCTGCCCAATGACCTCATGCAGCAGTTTCATTGAGATGTTAAAGAGGAGAGGGAAAATACTCAAGCCCTGAGGCACCCCCCCAACACACACACATACAGGGGTCTAGGGAGTGAGCTTCTTGTCCACCAACTAGAACCAGAAAGAGACAAAGGAAGATTTTGCACTCCCCTCAAATAAAAATGCTGGGAACCATATCACGTAAAATCTCCACTTAATTTTCCCTACTTGAAAACAAGCATCTAATTCTGAAACAGATATGCCAGAGACACAAAGCAAAAAAGTCAACATCACAACGGCTGGCATTAAGAATTTACTTTCTCTTCTGTGCAATAATGCTGTCAGTTCGGTCAGCTTCTTCACAATATGCAATGAGGCACTTGGTGTATTGTAGCAAAGACAAGAATTGTGGGAACAAGAAAAAAAAAGCAAAACTTTGTTTAAAATCATTTAATTAGTCTTTTCAGTAATAAGCGTAATAGACAATAGAATAGATTGCCATCATTCAACTATTTACACCTTTTTTGTTTTTACTTTAGCTTCAAAAACAGGCAGCTGAAGAGGTTACGTAGCAGTATCTCTTTGCAAGGAATGCAATGGGATTCGGCTTCAGCAGAAAACCCCCGTCCCGTCCTAGAGGAATTGGGTGCAATGAGGCTTCTGTCATTTCAACTGTCCAGCTGAAGATACGCTAAGGAATTATGAACTGTTTTTCCTGGATGACTTCAAAAATGAAATGGCAAACTTTAGTTCCATTAAATACTGAGATCATTAGAAAGGATGCAATTCAGTGGAAACCGAACCCTCTTCCTTTGCTGGCATAACAAGCGGCATTAAGACAACTTCACCCCGATTTTATTCTGTTCTTTCTTCATTAAGCGCTGTACTTCTTTCTCAATTTTCTTCCTTTGTTGCTCGGCTGTCCGTTTCTCTCTTTCTGCCATTTTCTGCTGCCTGAAATTTCACAGAAAATACAGAATTAAATGTCCCTCGAGTAATTCAAGATCATAGACTATTGCAGGCACTTCCTGAGCTTCACCGGTACCGGTTTGTTTGCTTATATTCTGCATGGGAATGGATTGCCAAATATCTAAACTGTACAAATGATCCAAATAATCCATCAGAAGGTAGATAAAGTGGAGCATCATTTCATTTTAAAAGTAGAATTATGACTGCATATTAAGCTACCAAGCTAAGAAATGGTAAATTGAGCTCTATTGACAGCACTTCCTGGGTTCAGTGATCAGCATCCTGCAGGATTAGATGGAACTCCTCCTTCCGGCAATCAAGTGGATCACAGTATGCCAAGTTTTCTATAGATATCCTTAATAACCTTATATTCTATCCAACATTTAGGTGATTGCTGTAAAATCCATTATTTGGGGAATTTGACCCTTTCTGCCATCACGTATGCCATGTTTGTTATTTTTTCACCTGCAACTTACCTTTACAAAATGCACTTTCAAAATTCTTTTGATAATTACATTAATGCATCACTGTTAATTTGAAATATGTTGTGTTCTATATTTTGGGCTTGGTTTTAATAATATATTCATTTATGTATATACCATCTTTTATTGTTTTACAAATAATTCAAGGTAGAGATCATATCCACCACACCTTCCTCCTCATGTTTTCCCACTGTGAGGTGCGTTGGGCTGACAGAGAATGACTGGTTTAAAGTCACCAAATTAGAAAAATATACTTTTTGTTACTCACTTCCACCGGTGATCCTTCTCATCACTAACTCTATGGGAGTGGAGTTGGCTATTGTTCCAAGAAATACTTAGGCAGCACTAGAATATACAGGTAGTCTTCAACTTACAATCATTCATTTAACAACCATTTAAAGTAACAGTGGGATGAAAAAAAAAGTGATTTACAACCATTCTTTGCATTTATGACCATCAGTCATATGATCCAAATTCAAGTTCTTGATAACTGGCATGTATTTAAAACAATTGTAGTGTTCTGGGGTCAAGTGAGTGCCATTTACAATCTTCCCAGTGGACATGTGACAAGCAAAGTCAATGGAGGAATTCAGATTCATTTAAAGACCATGTGATTAGCTTAACAACTATGGCAAAAAGTCTTAAAATCAGGTGCAACTCACTTAACAACCACACTACCTAGCAACAGAAGTCCCCATTCCAATTGTGATGGTAAGACAAGACTACCTGTACAGAGGGCCACTCACTATTATGGCCCAAATTCTCAAGTCAACCTTTCCAAACACCTGTTTTTGTTGCACTATAATTTCCATTATCTCCACTCCACATGGCCAATTATCAGGTGGGATCAGAGTTGCAACCCCACAATTGTAGAACCAAGAAAATACTTTTTTGCATACTGCATACGTTGGAAGTCCAAAATCAACGAAAATCTGATAATGGCAGTTTGCATGGCCTTGAAAGGAGACAAATTCATGCAGGAAGACGCTATTTAAGGACACTAATTGCCATGGCTGTTTACCCCTTTCTGAATGACAGGCAACATTTGGGAAGTTTTGCACTTCCCAAATACAATCAGTTGGTAACTGCAACAGTTGGGCGGGCTAAACAGACATATGAGTAATACAGCAAGGCTGTTCTTATGGTTCTGCAAAGCCAAGGATAATAACTTTGTTAATAAGAGGTAGGCTCAGTGTGTTCATTGATAAAACACCTTCAAGAGTCTGTAGAGATGCAAGGGGAAACTAGAATGAATGAGTAAAAATGGCCATTTGTTAATTTACAAAATTTATAAGGCTACTCAACTCATAACTTATTTATGATTGTGAGCAAAATACATCAGTTACAATAAAAAGCAATTAAAATCAACCAAAAGTAATATAAAAGCCATTTAATAAACCACAACAATAAATGTATTGGTTTTTTTATATAACAACTGCCGTGCCGCTTTACTGAAAATTTAATTCCTTCTCTAGAAGAATAACAAATTAAGCAGTGCAAATGTGCATCAATTCGTCAACAATAACCTTATACTTGAAACAAAAGTGGTTTATAGAATTCAATTTAATTTGGCATGTTTTGTTTCGCTTTTAAATACTGTGTTTGTTATTAATGTTTGTTTTGATTTGCTTATTCCCTATCTTTTCTACCATGTTCTAAATGCTCATTAAAATAAATAAATAAATAACCGCCTTTGGGGATTTTTTGTTTGTTTTGAGATTTGTATTCAAATACTGTCATGCTGTCTTTGAGGAAACAAAAGATTTTAGCTTTTTAGCTTGATTCTACCACGGCAAAGATCTCACACAATATCTAGCATTAGAAAGACGGCAATCTCCAAGCAGTGCCTTCGATCCAGGACTCCAAATGGCAATGTTAGCTGTGCAATGAGCCCTCTGCTGGCTTGCTAAAACATTTTGTGGGTTGTTTTTAATGCTGAATAATAGTTCACGGATACATAATTACACTCCCATCAGGCTATTTTCTCTTAAGGTGACTAACATTATCAGAGCGCAGAAGAGAAATAAGCCAAGGAAATTAAAGGCATGAGAGAAGAGGAAAGGAAGCAAAATTAAAACTAGTTTAAACCAATGCCTTTCACAATATATTTTTGTATTTTTGTAAACTATTAAACTATCCACCTTCTAATACCATGGCACGTTTCATACTCTGCCTTTGTTCTTCAAACTACTCCCTTTTTTTCCAGATCTCATAAACTATATCTAACCACTTCTTCTTGGTCTTCCTCTTCCTTTCAATCTATTTATTATTCCTTGATATATTTATTTTACAATTTTATCCTCACTTCTTCTCTTTATATGACCAAAGCACCTCAATCCATATTTGAAGCTATTCATTCTTGACTGTCTTTTTTTGTTGTACCGCATAGACTTTTTAATCACCCCAATTCCTATTCTATTTTTCGGAGTATAAGATGCACCTTTTTGCCTCAAAAAAGAGGCTGAAAATCTGGGTGCTTCTTATACATCAAATACAGCATTTTTGGCCTCCCAAAGCCCTGCCCCCTTCACCAAAATGGCTGTGCATAGCATTATGGAGGCTTTCAGAGAGCTCCTGGGGGCTGGGGAGGGCAGAAATGAGCAAAAAATGGACCGTTCCCCCTCCCCCCCGGTCTCCAGCAGCCCTCTATAAGCCTCAATAAGGCTATGCATGCAAATTTTTTGACAAAAAATGGGCCCATTTTCNATGGATTTGTGGGTGTGGGGACAAGATC